ATACTAAACCTTGCCTTTGATCTGTATATCTACTTTGCCTTAGGAAAATTTGTGTTAATAAAAAGCAAGGGGTCCAGAGAGACAAGAGAACTTGGTTCCCTTAGCTAAGTCTTCTCTGGCTCCCCAAAATGCCTTCCAAAATTATGTTTCATCTCTAGACTCTTTAATAATTTACAGCAGCCCCTTCTCCAGATTCCTGAACCCTTCTAGATGCCAAGGAAGACCCCCGGCACTGGGGTCAAGCCGATGAGGACTGAGTGAGACAGGCTGGACATGCCCTGGAGCCCTCCTGCAGTCCCTCCCCAGCTGGCCAACCTCCTGTGTCCCTCCCCGGCCCTGAGTGCACTACTGGGGTCCCTTGGCCTGGCCTGTGCCCTCTCACAATCCAGGACCCCTCAGGGGATGTTGGAGAGCTGGTTTTGGCCCGATCCCGCAGGCCAGGCCGAGGGACCCCCCAGTGCACAAATTTTTGTGCGCCGGGCCTCTAGTTTATATATAATTCTAGAAAATGCACACTGCAATTGTAGAATTTGGTGATAAAAAGTACACCACTGGTTTCCCAGGGATTGAAGGAAGTGAAGAGGGATGGGAGGGTTTTACCAAAGGAAATGAAGACACTTTGGGGGGTGATGGATATGTTCATTGTCTTGACTGTGGTGATAGTTTCAAGACTGTATACAAATGACAAGACTCATCAAATTGTGTACTTTTAACATGTGCACAGTATTACGTGTCAGTTATACCTCAATAAAGCTGTTAAAATCGGAGAAGTAGGAACTGATCAAGTACCATACTACTGAGAAAGAAAGTGTAGCCAACTCTTTCAAGCCAGAAAGAGAGAAGTTAGTATCAGGAGCTCTAGGTGGGATGGTAGGAGCATTTTTAAAAAGGAAAACATTTAAGATAAAGGAGAATTAGGAGATAATTAATTGAGTCATGCCTGAGAAGAGGATGGGCTAGAGAGAAATTAATATTAGGAGGAAAGGAAGATAGGATGAGCACAAATTCCAAAGACTTACAAACTTGTTACCAGGATAATAAATAATTTTCATTCTGATGGTCCGTGTGTGTGTGTGTGTGTGTGTGTGTGTGTGTGTGTATACGCGCGCGTGCACACGCATGCATATGTGCACCAAAAAACTTGCTGAAATTGTGGGGGGCAAGAAGTTTAAGAAGGGTAGCAAATGTTTGAAATAATCATTGTGGAGATTAAGAAATAAAAGCAGATTGACAGTTTTATTGGAGGCCCTGGGTGATTTGGTGGCTATGTACAGGGTGGGACAAAAGTAGGTTTACAGTTGTTCATATGGAAAATAATACAATAATTAATAAATAACAATACAAGAATAAACTCTGTGTTTCACATACTAACAGCTGTAAACCTACTTTTGCCCCACCCTGTGTTTATAATGGCATCAACATGCAAGGGATGTAATTTTTCTTTAGCAGTTCTCATCAGCCAGCTGCACAGAAAAGACAGGCAGGGTTTATCAGCCTCTGGGGCGGAAAGACAAAAGTGCCAGGAGGCTGAGGATATTGGTAAGAGAATGACTGAAATGATGAAATCTCAGTTGGATAGTTCAAGTAATTGATGACAGTAGGGACTTATAGTTGTCCGTAGGTCCTCCTGGGGTTAAAGAACTGCTATGTTGGGATTCATGCCACATGAGAGCTAGGTGAGCAGGGCGGTAGCAGGTCTGAATGTAGGACTTCAGAGGTGGATGGTTCCAGGTACTGGCAGACTGAGGGGCAGGGATGAGGTAGAGGAGAAAGTTCCTGGAGTTGAGGAGGTCAAGGGCCTGAGGGTCTAGGGAATTGTTAGGTCTTATGTTAACACTGTGTTTAATTGTTTGAGGAACCCATCAGACTGTTTTCCAAAGATGCTATACTATTTTACATTCCTACCAGCACTGTATAGGGTTTCAATTTCTCCACCTCCTAGTCAACACTTGTTTCTGTCTGCCTATTGATTTTAGTCATCCTGGTCTGATTTACATCTCCTTGGTGACTAATGATGCTTGAGAGTCTTTTTTGTGTACGTATAAGCCAATTTATTATTGGAAGCATTTCCCTGGATATATGTCTATTCTGATCCTTTGCCCATTTTTAATTGGGTTATTTATAATTTCATTGTTGAGTAAAGTCAAGTCAAGATTTCGAACCCAGGAAGTCTGTCCCCACATCTGTAGGCTTAACTCTCATGCTCTCCTGCTTCTTGCTATGCATCATGGTTACAAAGTGGTACAAATTTTGTTACTATTTATTCTACGTAAGAAGTTGAGTGAAAAGCCATTTAAAAGCTGGAAAACAGTTTCTTTTAGAGGTGAAAACATCTTGGTTTGGGAAAATATGCTTATAGCACCTTCAGGAAGGAAGGGTAAGGGGAGACAGTTGAATAATTAGACATAGCTAAATTTAGACATAGTTAAATTGCCTCATATGAGAAAATAAAGGAATTTGGGAGGGGTGGGGGGTTAGGTGAACAATAAAAAAGGATAGAAGACTTAAGAAAAGAGTTAACATGGAACAGACTGTTGAATCTCAGAGGGAAGGTGGGGATGGGTGTGTGGGTGGGAAGAGATCAACCAAAGAACTTGTATTCATATATGCATAACCTTGGACACAGACAATGGTGTGGTGAATGCTGGGGTGGGGTGAGGTGGG